TACACCAAAAATTTGCTCACGGTGATGAGGCTTTGTGCGACTCATCACATTGGTTAAAACAAAGTTGCTTAGTAATAAATATCTGAATTACATCTATTAGGAGATAATTCGTGCATATTAGAGTAGATATATAAACAGAATCTCTAACAATTAAATGCTCTTTATATTTAAGCACTAAAAAACGTACCAAAATAGTAGTAAAAGTAGGGGATTGATAATTGTACTATGTCTCTCTGTATAACATAAGTTTTGGTCATGTCCAAAAAGTGCGTTAAATTGCCGTGATACAACATATATTTGTAGAGTAAGTTAATATCTTCTCTCCAACTTTCATTCCAAAATTTTTTTTCAAACCTGCTAAGAATGGTAAGGCTCATTATTATGGGAGCTTATATGTGGAGTCTTTCATAATGGACGTATATCTGTTCAACCCAATTTTAGTGTCAGCCAGGAGTCAATTCCATTCTCGACTGTCATTGATGACACGCTTAATGCTCACATATATGGAAAAAACAGATGTATTGCTTGACATTTCAAAGAACATTTCAAAGATCGCGACTATTTTGATGTGACACTTGCTTGACAGAAGACGCAATACTTTGTCAACGATTAAGGAAGAAGATCGTAAGTTACATTGCTTCGAACTAAAGTGTTAAAAGCGGAAGAAGTTGGACAGATGTCTTTGGAATAAAATGAATCGCTTAATAATAAATTCAACATTATTTGAATACTTTACCGAGGTACCATACTTCTGGTATTTCAATTAAAGGTTCCGATGTTGATGATTAAAGTACATAAAAAATTTTCAAAAATGTATACTTTGTTATTCCCTAAAATATTAGCAGAAGGGCAGTGTTATAGTTGACGCGATCTTCTTACTTAATAAATATACTCCATAAAGAAGTAGATATCTTTTCTGCTCAATACATTTACAGACTAATTTAATGAGTTCAAACGATGTCAGTTTTTTTCATCTTAGTAAACAATGTATTGGTCCAGATCTCAAAGTGTAACTTTAAGAATGAGAATTATAAGTTTTCAGAGATGTACTTTATAGATCACTTATTTATAAAGTACTTTGCTAAACAATTGTTTAGTATTTCTGTTTCCATTACCTTTAAAATTTTATACTCCAACAACTATAAAAGAATAGACTTTTTTGTAGTGCTATTAAGTTTTATTATTTGTAAGTAGATTATCATGCATTTTGAATGGATGTATGTCTGCAATTCGTAGTTAACAATTGTTTGGTGCTGCGATAAGTAACAACAATAAATTCAACAGGACATCACATGTAATGGAAAGGTTCGTCAGCTTTTGATAGATATCTTGATAGGTATATCTGTTACCACCTCGTCACTTAGCCTCGGGTTCTAAATGATATGAACAATTTTTTAATAATCGCATATACAAATTATTATGTTTGAAAATAAATTAATATTAGTATTATTAAATCAAAAAAATAAAAAAAAAAAATAAAAACATTACTAATATTATTATATATAAGTATTCAAGTATTAATAAACTTACTAATAACGCGACTTCCGTTCATAGTCTTGATATGGACTAGCGATGTTGTTTTGCTTCGAACGGAACATTCTTTTGTATTGCTCTTTAGATATGCCCACCGAAGATGAAGAAGGACACTCGTTTAACGTGGCTTCTTTCTTATTTTCAACTCTGGTTGATTTATGTGCTTTGCTTGAAGGAACTGTAGCGATCTTTCTACTAAAAAATTGTTGATTGCCCATATTTTTAGCTAACGTAGTTGGTGTTCTACTTATCGTGACCTTATCAAGCTTCATATCATCTAAACGAGCCATTCCTAAAGATTGGTCGAATGTTGAACTGTTGTAAAATCGTTTTCCGCCAACATTCTGAGCAAACCTATTCGAGTTTTCATTTACTGCGACTTTATCCAGAGACATATCATTTAAGCGAGCCATGCCTAAAGACTGTGAGGTTGCTGACTTATTGACGTATTGATTATTGTTTACATTCTGAGCCAACATAGGTGACGCTTCATTTATTATGACCTCATCAAGTTCCATATCATCAAAGCGTTCGGTACTTTTATACAATGTGTCAAATCCTTCTGCTGGAAATCTTTTAACAAACCTTTTCAGACCGGTTCCTTCTGTTCGTTGTTTTTCTGTTGACATTCGTACATTCCTTTCATATTCTGCCCATTTTAAGTCAAATGTTTGATCTCTAACATCTCGAACATAATTTTTTGTCGGTTCAATTATGTTGATACTTGCTCTGCAACAATTATCATTACACGTGACTGTATAGAATTGGTTGTCTTTCTTCAAATTCGTTACGCATCTTGTCAAACCATTATTATCTATACTTGTTTGAACGGGGTGAATATCATCCATGCGTGGCAAACTTTGAGCAGTTGCCGTCTCACAATTTTTTTTGTAAGCGTAGTTTTTCAAAGCCTTGGAGTTTTCATACGCATTGATTGTCAATGTACGTACTGGACATTGATTTGGAGCACCGACATCTTCGTTCACAAGTTTACGAAAATCCCCCTGCCTTAGAATTTGGCGACCAATTATTTGAGCAAAATTAAACATTCTTGCAGACATTTTTATTAACGGTGAATTTTGAAAAATGAAATCGAAATAAATTTCGATATTTTCAAATTTTAAATGCAAATAAAAATGTAGCACCACAAAAAATTTCGAAACATTCAGTCCAAAATTTTGAAAATATATGTATTTTTTACTGAAACAATTATCGTTTTTACTTTTACAAATAAATATGCTTACTTAGATTAAAGAAAATTTTAGAATTTACTTTTTGAATTTAGATAAAAATCGTCCGATTGATTACTTCAGGATAAATATAATCAGAAATACTAAAATATATAAGCGCTAGTCTCGAGTCTCGAGGCATATATTCATTGGGATTATAGTAATTGGATTTTTTTAATTAAAACTACAAAATTTCAAAATATTTTAATTTAAAAAATAATTTTATTAATCGATATAAATTGTTATTTATTCTTTTCTACTACCACTATAATTTTGGGAAACTATCGCAGTACTTTTCGCATTACTTTGTCAATATCAATTTTGCAGGGTTTAAATTTAGTGGATCATCTTATATTTTATCATCTGTTCTCATATGCTTTGAAAAAGTACAGTTTCGTTACATTTCAACACTCATCTTCATAATAGTCTTTTGAAGGGGATAATAAAATCAGAGATAGCAGTTCAACCATTATCCTTCGCATGACTTATCAGACAATTAATTAATGCAAATGCAAAGACTAACTAATAGATAAAACGTACATGCCGCGTTTTCGGATAATATTTGTAAAAATGTGGGGATAAAAAAACTACTACCTTCCTAAGTTTATAAAGGAATATTCGTAGAGTTAATCAGTTTACATGTGTTATTTCAAGTCATTCCATGGTAGGTAACCTCGCGATTAGATTGAGTGCCCCACCACGAATTGTTATATAAACTGCTAGGATAAAGGAAAAAGCAGAGGATGGAATATTAATTACTACTGTCCAGTTCTCTAAAGATAACGAGTTAACATCTTGGGTTATTTCTTCTATTCAAAAAAATTGGATAAGTTCGATATGGTTGACTTATTAAAATTTTAAAAGTTTTTTGATAAAATTATCATAGATGGGATTGGTTAAATGAAGGATATCCCTGTCAAACCAGCAGACCCCGTTTCAGACTTTTCAGAATTTTTTGTTAATGAGTGCTATATTAATTATAATAACATTTAGCTTATATTTTGCAATATCCCACTTAAGATTTTTCGTCTTTCAAAAATCGGAAGAGTTCGATATGGTCAATGTTTTAAAAATTTGAAAGTTTATAATTGACACCATCACAGATGGGAAAGATTATATGAAGTTTTAGCCTTGGGAAGACTATAAATCTCCATCTCAAGTTTCCAGATTATTTTGTTACCATATTTTGGGATATTTCTTCTCCATTAAAATTGAATAAGTTTGATATGATGGATCTATACAAATTTTAAAAGTTTGTTAAAAAAAATTTCTTAGATGGGAGAGATTAAATAAGGTATATACCTTTCAAGACAAAGGACCCCAATTTAGAGATTCCAGTTTTTTTTGTTAAAGAGTGTCATATTAATAATAATATTTAGCTTATGTTGTGGAATATCCTTTTTGGAATATTTTCTCTTCTGAAGAATTGGAAAAGTTCGATACGGTTAGTCGGAGGATATAAGTTCGATACGAAGGATATTCCTGTCAATCCGAGGGACACCATTTAAGGGTTTAATATTTTTTTGTTAAGGAGTGCCATTTTAATAAAAATGACGATATGATTATGACTTAGAAAGTCTTGTGGCTGATCTGATGTTTCTTAACGATGTCCTTCATTTTGTTTTGCAATTTTTTTTTTTTTGAAATAATGAAATTTGATGAAATTTTTAGTTTTTAAACATTTTTAATTTTTTGAAGGATTTTATTTTTTAAATTAATTGACTTAAATGTCATCGGTTATATTAATCGATTTAGTCACACATCTATTTAGTCAAAGTTTTTCTCAGACGTGTTGTGAAAAGTATACGTTTCTTAAAGGTATGCCAAAATTTTAAATCATTTTTAAATCATAAAATTATTTTATTTAATGAAAAACTGTTGAGTTAAATAGAAAGTGTAGCATCCACAACTGCTGCTTATATTTCCACGTTTTTATTCCTTCACAAATAAAGGCAACAGCATTCTGAAAAACCTGAACCGAATACAAAAAATTTTATGAAAACAACGAACCCAACGAAAGGCATAAATAATTCCATTTGCCAGAGCACCTTGTTTGCTGCAAGAGCCCTAAGCGACCGGAAATAAATAAAATGCCGTGTGAATGTGTTGCTCGAACAATTCCCATAGGCTAGAATAATGCGGTTGATTTTTTACACTTTTGCAAAATTGAGCACGAAATTTATTAACATTTTTCCTATGCACAAATATAATTCCCATAATTTGAAAAAGGTTTGAGCTTTTTATTTACGGATATTTCCATTTGTTTTATGCTCTTGGCTTCTGCCATTGATACCTCTACGTATTCGGAATTTTTATGCAATTTCGGTACGGCGCAAATGACAGCATATACGTCTATTGTAAGTCAGTCCAGTTGAAAGGATTTTATGGTGGTATTGGGCGATAAATGAGGCAGTAAATGCATTGGAGCTGCTCAAGTGCTGGTGCGCTGGCTTGTGTGGAGTGTGAGCTCTATTTACTATTTTGAACCTGATTTACCCAAATTTGTTTGTTAGTAATTGAAAGAACGTTTTGTGAAAATGAAAATACGGTTTTAGTTTTTAGATGAAAAAAATTAAAAATATATAAGAAAATTCTGAACTATTTTTTTAGATTACTTTTCGATTTTGAAGTAAATAAATAATCAGTTCGAAATGCAATCGATTTGATTAATACTAAATACTGAAAATATCACAGATTTTGGTATTCTCTGCAGAATGATGTGTAACGTTTGTTTAGAAAGCAATTAGCTTTTGTTATGTTTTAGTTCTGATTGGATATTTAATAGGTAATTAGGACGAAATAGGATGTAATTAAATGCTTTGTAGAGATATTGGAAAGTATTTACAAAAGAAATTCTAATTTTCGAATTGAGTGGTATTTGTATTTTAAGCAAATATAATCGAAATTCAAATGAAATTACTGTGAATACACGTTGATTCTTTACATAACTTAACAATTATTGTTTATATTTCAGCTATTATTAATTTAAGTATGCTTAGTTCATAGAATTTGAACGAAAACAACTATAATTGCTAAAAATTTGTATTTCCACACTTCTCTGGACAAGTACTACCTTATGCTCAAAAAGTATCCGGATTTTGTTGTTTGTTAACTATTCTTTTTTCAAAAAAATTTTTTTTTGTTGTTTTGAAACATGTCAATATGGTACAAATTTGAGCGCCATCTGTCAATTAGTTTGTTTACAGCAGTTGTTAATGTGAGACTACCTCAAGTGCATTTAACGATTTTTACTATGGAAAATTCTTGTTGTACTCGATTTTTTGACCAAACACGGCACCACTGTCATCGCTCAGGCACATTATTCGCCAAATCTGGATCCGTGCGACTTTTTCCTGTTCCCGAAACTCAAATTGCCCCTTCGTAGTAAGCGTTTTGAGTCGATTGTATCGGTAAAAGAGAAATCGCCGAAGGAACTAAAAGCCATACCTGCACGGGCCTACGAAAAGTGTATGGAAGATTGAGTTAAGTGTTGGCATATGTGTATTGCTTCAGAAGGAGCGTATTTTGAAGGAGATAAAATAAATTTGGAATAAAATTTAAATTTATGTGTTTTATTTACAAAATCCGAATACTTTTTGAGCAGAAGGTATATGCTAAGTGTACCAGTAACTGCAGGTAAATACAATAACAACTTTCTCTAAAAGTTATAGTATTGTAAAGAAAGCTGGATGAATACTTTTTTTTAATAAAAACACGGCATCGAATGAATGCTTTTAATGAAGATAAATATAGTGACAGGTAACAGCACCGTTTTATTATGTTTTGCTAATCACTGTGCCACAATAACTTTTTCAGCTAACGTTAAAATCGTTGCTATTAAAAAAAATTTACATAATGGTTACTTCAACGAAATTCTCAATTCAGCTTAAGGAACAAAGTAAGACTTTACAAGGCCATTCTTAAACCGATCTGGACAATTCAGCTGTGGATTTAAATCAATCACTTTGCGAAAGATTACAGTTGCCCCTTGGTATCTGACGTACAATCGATTACACAAAGACCACGAGATTGTTTGGATAAGAAACGAAATAAAAAGTTTAGTTTTTTAATACTTTATATGTGATATGAAATCTTAATAAATAAAAATTATATCGGCATATATATTGTTTATGTATTAAGTGTATTATTTCACATTCAGTTATAGTTAATTATATATTTAAAAATGAACCCAGCCTTGATATGAATTTTGTATATAAAACGCGGATGGTGTCATATTTATTCAATTTTTTGAATAAAATTTTTTTTGAGCACAAAACGTCATTGCTTAAAATTAATATTATTAAAAATTTGTGAAAATCGTGACGTTTGCATGACAACTAAAGATTTGTATCTTTATCCATTTCATTACACCGCGAAGATGACAGACAAAAACGATTTCGTTGCTTCAAAATTGCAAATGTCAGCTTACCCCACAGGAGACAGCACGGAAAGTCAAAAATGTTCTAAAAAAAATAGTTTATTTTTTAATGAAGTCACAGGGAAAATGTAAGGATTTATTTTGAATCGGTCTTGTCAGTCTTTTGGAGCGCTAATAGTTAAAGGTTGTCATGTGTATTTAGCAAGTCAGTTTATTTCTCATTGAATCCCTTGGAAATGAAAACTAAATCATTTCTATTAGATTTATTGAAAGTGGAATTTCAGTTGAACAAGTACGAAGAAGACTATGCTGAACTTATCAGATTCATAGAGTTCCTTAATATAACATAAAAGAAATACTAGGTAGTTGGTTGATTGGCTGCTAGGGCTGATTAGCAGATTTTCTTATACTTTTTAAAATGAGCATTTTTTTGGCTATTTTAAACCTTTATTGCATGTAAGAAACAATGACAGATAAGACTAGATCTATCTTGGTGAGTTTTCATAATTCAACATTATTATTATAATTACTGATTAGTAGTTCCACAACCCGTAGAAAAAATTTTTCCATAAAAATA